CAGATTTGAGAACTTTGTTTGTATCAACTAGTTCTGACCATCGGGTGACGCCGAATTTAAATCTTAATTCAGAGGAGCTACAGATTTTCTATTTAGGTTATGGGGGAGCGTCACTGGCTCAAATTCGTGCGCAAGGCACTCGTTACGTAAGATACTTGCATCCAGATGTTGTTTTGTTACAAGCTGTATCAAACGATTTGTGTCGGAGAAACACATCAGTGGAAGACATTTTTCATGAACTTGCGGACTTTGTAATTTAACTCCGTGATGCGGAAGATGTAAAAAAAGTAGTGGTGCTTCAGACATTGCATAGAATTCCCCCGACAAGACGTATCAGGTTTCATGTGGACACAGAGTGCAAGAGAGTTGTTGAATTAAATAGACGCATGTCCTATTACTTGCAGAATGTAGAGGGAGCAGCATTCTTTCGCCTATCTGGTTTATCATAGGATGGTATTTCTTGTGGATGGGGTTCATTTGAATAATCAGGGAAATAAGGAAAATTATAATAATTTGAGAGCTGTTATTGTTTCCTTGATAAAGTCTATCAATAATGGTGGGTACATGTTTGTGCAGCATTTATATTTAGTCTAACGATACATTGTTCAATTTTCATCTGTTTATTTTCAAAATCCACATATGCAGTGGTGATTTAATGCAATCTAATATAATGATGCATATAGCCATATAAATATTATATCATTTAATTTATACATTTATGACACCCCTGTAAAGTTGGGGTTGTTTAATTGGGTCCTGTGTATTATTTATTAACAGCTTATTTAAGAATAACCATAAATTTTTAGTTTTAGCAGGATTTTACACCCTTATATGGTCGGGGTTTAGTTTTAGCAGGATCTTGCACTCCTATATGGTCGGGTTTGATTTATAGCAGGTTTTGCACTCTTCTATGGTCGGGGTTTACTCAAGCAATATCCTGACCCCTATATGGTCGGGGTTGAATTTTAGCAGGACCCTGCAGCCCTATATGGTCGGGGTTTACTTAAGCAATATCCTGCACTCCTATATGGTCGGGGTTTAATTCTAGCAGGATTTTGCATATGTATGGTTGAAGTTTACTTAAACAGTATCCTGCACCCCTATATGGTCGGGGTTTAATTTTAGCAGGATTTTTCACCCCTTAGGCTATATGGTCGGGGCTGAAGTCAAACAAGATGTTGCACCCCTATATGGTCGGGGTTTGAATTCAGACAAGATGTTGTACCCCTATATGGTCGGGGTTTTATTTCAAAGGATTTATTCCCCTAAATATTGGGTTTGTTTAACTGAATATATTGCATAAAATGAATAAGATACATATATTCATATAGTGTTGAGATTTCTAGAGGTTTCTTATCTATAGAATTGTCAATGATATAGATATTTTTGGAATTCTACATATATAATCACCTTGCATTTATAGAGCAGAATTTAAAATATGAACAGAAATGATATAATTTTGACACAGTTATAATACACTCCACTGTCATTTATTCTTATCCGGTGAAGTATCAAAATTGCAAATAAATGTAGCTGTAAGGTTAGCTAGAATTATATTACCAATATGGATTGGGCATTAAATGATTTAGATTTTAGAAATATCCAATGATATTAAACTTCATGGAGTGTATATTTAATTAAGAAATTCTATTGGTGCCTTCATTGGTCTTTAAGAGCTCTGAAATATTTTTATTAATAATGTTATTACATAGTGTATATTACATAGATGAATTTTTATTTTTACAGGAAAATTGGGAGACACTATTTGTAAACATATGCTAGATTTTTTGTACTAGGTTTGTGTTGAACGTGGAATATCTAATGACAAGACAACTCTCATCAGGTTTGACTCTAAGGGATAGAATGGAGACAGTTATATCTATGCTTATGTTTTACCTCAAGATACATTGACTGAGCTATGTAACAATCCCAGGATAGGTGTCTAGAATGCTAAACACAAATTAAGTAAAAATAACTAAAAATAAAGTAGATGAAGTTATGTAGCTGATTTTCGTAATCGAATATCCGCCTCCCAGCCAAGAGGGATAATTCTTTTTTAAAAAAAAAAAAAAAAAAAAAGATCATTTAATCAAAAAGACTCAAATTAAGCTTGAAATTCAATCTTTTCGTGCAACAATTTTTATTCACGCAACTCAAGTTCTTCGTAGTCTAGAAACTGGGAAAAGTTGACATTTGTGTCCCATAAAAGTATTTAAAAATCTTTAGATAAATCGAATTCCTTCAAGCTTGCTTTGTTAACCATGATATGAAATATGAAGTGATATTTGATGTCTTCCAACGATAGCACATGCTTTTTACACTACAGGTATGTGTTATATAATGATTGGAAAAAAATATAAGAAAAATGCCATTATGATATGAGTATTAATAACATGCAATTTTTTCCAAATTCCGGGATACCTATAAATGTTTATTCAGGTACCTTTGGCTAACAACAGGATATTATTACATACTGACAAGCAATCGGTCGTGCAAATAGTCAATTCTGCTAAAGTCAGACTATTGGTTAGAAACTTGTAATTAATATCACTTATTTCACTATTATATTTAAGCAGAGTTCATTACTTAGTTATTATATCAAATTAAATTGCAGATTCTATTTTACATTGACAGTGGCTTCATTTTTGGGCTTTGGGTCCTCGTGCATCTCAGGTCAATATTGGAAACGATAAGTTTCAATAATTGATTCACACCTTTTCAACAATGTCACATTGGCATCATTGAGCTAGATTGATGAACAAATCATTAACAATAGAGTCTGAACTTGGTACACCTAGCCATGGCCAATTTTTGGTACATTTCAATGGTAATCCCCTAACGACTAACGTGTTATTAGTTATCAAACCCTAATTGCAATACTATTCATTTCTGTAACATAAACAAATACTGTTTTAGATCACACTCTTTTCAGCAGCAGTATTATAGGGCATTCCTGAACAAATTATTAAACAATTGGGCGGGTGGAATCCATAACTATACATGCCTCAAACATTGGTGTGAGATTTGTATAATTAAAATATTATAGCTCAATTTCAATTTTGGCTTAAACGTATTATACATCTATCCATATAAAAATTTTAGTTTTTGTAGATTGTGTGTAGTCTGGGAAATGGCATTCATAGGATACTGAGCTACCCAAAGTGACATCATTGGTCCTTGAGGAAAAAGCCCTCGATTTGATTTTTTAAAAAATGGGTTTGGAGTCAGGGAAATTAGATTGAAGGAATTTGACTCTTTGATTTAGAATAAATTAAAATGCACTTGGGTGGTACATTAAGGTTTCAAGGACCGGGGCACCTCGCCTGGATCATTATTGTTTCATAGTATGGAATGTTCCTGCTTATGCTGCAAGTTATTAGTCCGAAGTATGTCAATTATTTGGTCCGATATAAGTTTAATCCAAGATGAGTCTTGATTTATTAAATGGAACAACTAACAAGTGTCTATTATACATGAACACTTATAAAATTTGAAATTTAAAGGTCAGGTGGGTGAAATGGAATGAATTAAAAATTAACATGTATACACCAAACACGTTAGTGGCGGGTGAACTTGTATAGACAAGTTCATTTGGCGGAATTCGGGGATTACCACGAATGAGGAATTCTCTCATGTCTGGCTCAAAACTCTGGGTAATCTATCCTCAGTACTGGGGAGGATTAATTTGGGGTTACCTCAGCGGTACCTGAGGGACCAGCTTGATCTTTGTGGGTACCAAAGGCAAGTTTTGGGGCCTACCCCTGGGGGTATTATCCCCATGTTGTTGTTGTATTCCAGGGGAGGCAGGTATAGAGTTAGGGCCCGAGTCAGAACTTGAATTCATTCATTTGATGTGGCACTCACTCTTGTTGGTACCAAGAGGTCTGTTCCCACCACAGTCACCTGTGGGGGCGCTATCGCGCCAAGGATCTAGGGAGGTCATCCCGGTAGGCAGGTAGTGATTCCCTGGGTTCCGCCGGGGTATTTACATCTATGTATAAATAGATTGTGACAAATAGTCGCCACAAAATGTAATCATTGTTTCACAATAAATGTGTAAAATTAATATTTGTTACTATTCATTGCATCTGGGATTAATTGCATTTATCACCATATTGTGATAAATGCTTTTAATACCAGTGCAAGAGCGATAACTCGTGCGTTCTTGGTAGTGGTTAAACATTATTGAGACCATGAGTTTTAAATAGAGGACGCAATATAATCAAGCACCTTATGACCCCGATTTTCATAGTCTACCAAAAAAGCTAGAAGGGCAGACATGTTGCAAAATTTCACCCACCCACCCTTCCCTAAAATATGTTTACAGATTTTTGCTGCTTTCTCTTCTGTAATTTCAGTGACAGAAGCCTATTCTTACATGGAAAGAGATGTGTATGTGGAACAACCTAGCGGTTGTATCATTAGCAAAGAAAGGATGTGGTCATTATGTATATGGTGGGACCATTTGGTGTCAATTGGACATTTTCTGTTGAAATCAATGTAAATGATTCAATCCTGAGTTTTATTGGACATTTCTATGGTGTGATATATAATCAGTACTTCAGTGAAATTGGTGATCATTGATGATTATGTGTTTACGTACAGTGTTACTGTACAGTGTTACTTTTAATAAGTATTGTAAGCAAGTATAGCTTGTAAATATATATTGAGAATTTTCTTGCTTTGGGATTATGGTAAAGTTTCTTAAGTCACAATCTGGGATGGGGGCGGCGGAATTCGGGGATTACCACGAATGAGGAATTCTCTCATGTCTGGCTCAAAACTCTGGGTAATCTATCCTCAGTACTGGGGAGGATTAATTTGGGGTTACCTCAGCGGTACCTGAGGGACCAGCTTGATCTTTGTGGGTACCAAAGGCAAGTTTTGGGGCCTACCCCTGGGGGTATTATCCCCATGTTGTTGTTGTATTCCAGGGGAGGCAGGTATAGAGTTAGGGCCCGAGTCAGAACTTGAATTCATTCATTTGATGTGGCACTCACTCTTGTTGGTACCAAGAGGTCTGTTCCCACCACAGTCACCTGTGGGGGCGCTATCGCGCCAAGGATCTAGGGAGGTCATCCCGGTAGGCAGGTAGTGATTCCCTGGGTTCCGCCGGGGTATTTACATCTATGTATAAATAGATTGTGACAAATAGTCGCCACAAAATGTAATCATTGTTTCACAATAAATGTGTAAAATTAATATTTGTTACTATTCATTGCATCTGGGATTAATAAATCAATATATAATTAAATTCAATCTTTGATCTAGCTTTCAATTAAAATTTTGAATTAATGTGTTGGTTTCAGAAAGAACAACTATTAATCTAATCAATTTGACTTCTTATCAATAAAATCTGTTCAATGCAAATAAGGTGAAAAACCATCTAATTACAAAATCCTTATGAAAGCATGAATTAAATAAATATATTTCTAAGTTTTTTAGAACTTTTACCCAGTCCCAGTTGTAAAGTTTATAGACTGTCACAATAAAAATATGTTCAAGTCAATCTTAAACATGTATCAAACTAACCCATTATGAATAGTATAACAAGACAGATTTAGACAATATGTAAAAGAAAAAAATAACAATTACAGAAATTATCTGTATGTTCATTACCAATTTTAGGAAATTTTAGGGGCAACTGAATATACGAACTTATTATGAAACTCTCACTTTCTGTGAGACTCATTTTACTGTCATCCTGATCTATACATTAGAGCATGGGTATTGTGTGAGTAGTAGGGCTAGGCAATAATTCCAATATTCCGGTATACATGTATTACGGTATGTTGACAAAAAAATATCGTATTGCAATACATTTTTTGTAATACTGAATACCGGCAAAATGCTTGGACTCAGGAATCCTAACATAAAATATAAAGAAAAGTTGTCAGAAAGGTTTGCGATCACGCCAAACAGTAAGACAAAAAGCTGGGTGTATTTAGTTGCATAACTGTAATTCAATCAACAGGGTAACTTTTATTGGTTATTTATAATAGTTATGTACACATTTTACATGTAGAAGGAAGTTGAAATAGAAAATTCCACTTAAATTTTTGTTGAAAATATTGCAATACATATCGCAATACAGTAAAAAAATATCGCAAAATATCGCAATACAAAACTTCTAGCCAATACCCAGCCCTAGTGTGTATTTAATTTAAATTTTTGTATAAAAATCATTTAAATAATCGTGTACAGATTCCTAAATACTCCTATATATTGCAAAGGAACTGTAAAACCATTGTCAATTTATTTTGATAACATCAGTTGAAGGCTTTTATATACATCTGTACCTAAATCGGTTTTGTGGTAAAAGTGTTGCAAAATGAAAAACTAATTATAGTAATTTTCTGTTTGACAGTCATTACATTTTTATTTCTTTAAAGCTGTGGAGCAATTCATCATTGATTATTATACAGCAATGTCTTCAAATTCCCCTTTTGTAATCCTTTCTATTTATATTTTAAAGAAGGGGATGACATTGCTTTATAGCTTTTCTCAGACAAAAGTGTAACATAAATGAATTTACTTTAAATCCTCATAACTAAATCTGGTCAAAATTGCTAGAACTCATAACATAAAGTTGAAAATCATTCATTTTAAAACAGATCTGCAATACAAGCAAGAAAATAAAAAAGCATAACATTTAGAAATTGAAACATATCGGATATAAAACCAACAGTTTTTATGTACGGATCTAATTGGGGGGGGGGGGGGGGTGTCAGGGGTCCCCCCTCTGGAATTTGCAGAGTTTAAATGTATATACTAATCCAACTAAAATGACCTTGGACCATCCCCCTCCCCCCCCCCCCCAAAAAAAAAAAAAAAAAAAAACGTGAACCCGTGTTAAGTGGATATGAAAATTCATACATATGAAGCTTAAGTAGAATTGAATGGCTACCCCCCCCCCCTTTCCACCGACCCCCCTGCTAAATAGGTTTTTCACATCTGGGGTTTAGGTTTTTTTTGTTTTTTGTTTGTCAAGAAATTTCTTGGATTTTTTTTCTTTGACTGGGATGGACCCCCTCCATCCATAATACATTCCCGGATCTGTGCCTGGTTTTTGTGGCGAGGACAGATGGCATAATTTTAACAATCAAGTGCATGTATTATTGCACAGTATGTATTCCAGAATGGGAAATACATTATTTATGAAGAGTAAAACAATTTTTAAAATAGTGGTAATTAATGTCTGAAGCTCCTTGAGATATGATTACATTATCCATTTATAAATGTAGTAAGGGATTAACAAACCTGAATTTTGAAGTGTTTTCCATCTTTGTACAAATGCACTTCGTCCAGTCAGATGCCCAGCAAACAATCCACAAAAATCACTGTCACTCAAATCAAAATCTTCTAGGCGCAGTATTTTATCATGGCCATTCATCATAACCTTTAAAGTTTATTATGATACATCTTCAATCAATTTGTTTTAGAAGAAAATGTGAAATATTTTCTAGTAATGTTTTAAAACAGATAACTTTTCCTTCAAATAAGCATTAAACAAACAAGCAAATCTATCAATTTATCTATTTCATGGAAATCCATGGGAATAAATTCAATAAATAATACTGAACAAATGAATAAAGAAAAAAATATTACCTTGACACATCCTGCATTGTTTGCAACACCTATATCCCAAATTTTTCCTACAATGTTTCCATTCTGTTTCATGAACAATGCATTATTTTTTCCTTTGGAAATGGACCACATTTTGTATCAGTACAAAATCTGTAATATCTTAGTAGAAAGCTGGCTACAGTTACTCTGAGTGTTCACGCCCCTAAAATCTTATCAGCATCCAGTTTGTGATTGGCATCTGATGTTTGTAACATCAGAGATACCAGTCATCTTCAGGTTGCATGTAACACTTGTTACTTAGCTAGAAATGGGTGATTCTCTCACTGAAGCAGAGGAATATGAGTCTTCCTTAGATCATATTTTAAACATTTATACTGACCATGCTGACAAATCATTACAGGAAATATCAAATTTTGAACATTCCTTTAATTTTGTGTCTCAAAATAATGCATCTGGTGATATGTTCTCTTTTCGCGATGATACACCACCTGCCATTCGTGCGCCCACCGTTTGCGATGAAGATTTGTATGAATATTTCAGTGAACAAAGCAATAGCATTAGCAAGGAGGTTTCACTTATTTCATCTGATTTGCACACAAGTGGGAGTTCAACAGATTCACAACCGTTTGGAAATGTGCACTTTACTGAACCCTTGATGACCAGTACTCCAAAGAAATCAAAAAGTAAGTCATTCTTTTCAAAAACTTTCTTTTGTTTAATATATATATATATCAAGTATCAATGTGAAAGAATGTACATTGTGGCATTAATCTTGCTCTTGTTAGACCTATATATACCACATCTTTCAGTCAAAGAGCTGGTTTCATAGAGAAATGCAATTTTTAATTAAATCAATGTGTTGGATAAATTTTGTATTTTAGAAATTGTGTTCTGGTGATAAAAGTAACCTATTAATTAAAGTTATAATGATTAATAATTGAGATTTTTGTTCCCCCAAAATACAGTTTGGACAACATTCCTCCTAAACTATGTGAATAATTTTAGGGGGCAGTCACACACCCTGTCCATAATTTTTTTAAAAATTTAGTCAGGCATGGATATGAAGGAAAAAATTGTGTAAAATGTGAATAGCACCAGATGAATTTACAGTTATTATTTAATACAAGTTTTGGGAATTTTGTACAATCAACTTTTCACGATTGTACTTGATTTCAAGCAATCTATATCACAAGAGAAATGTTTTCCTATAAATTGACATATTCTACAATGCAGACCTCTCACGGTTAGATTAATACCAAAACCATTTTAAGACAATTTCTCTCAGGCATTAGGTGGTTCTAGCTCTCTGGTATAAATCTGGTTGACAGACTTGGGGGCTATACATGTACCTGTACATTTTTGCTGAAAACCCTGTATTTAATAAAAAAGAGGCAATTTATTGTAATCTATATATGCATGGCTTTTGAACAAATTTTTCTAATCAGGCCTGCAGTATGTTGGGGGTGCCATTTTATTTCTGAGAATTGACTTGCTGTTATAGCAATGCCAGTTTAGAAATATATTTTCAAAGAAAGGTTGCCCCACCACCTTAATCCTTTGTATCTCTACCCAAATAGTTATTTTCCCTATACTCCCCTTTACCATTTAATTTTTTTTTCTTTGTCACCAAATTATTTATTTTTGCCTGCCCCCCCCCCCCCCCAACCAACCAACCAACTTCCTAGCCCACTGTGAAAAAAAAGATGCAATAAATTATCTGCTGCTTTTATTTTACTAAAATAGCCTTTCAAGAAAATTTTATACTTCAAAAACATATTGAGACATGCACTCACTGCTGATTTTGCCTCAGAAATTCTTTAAATTTATTTCAGCACCCATGGAATGTGAAGTGTTAAATTCTTGCATGGTGATCAATGATCACCATTTTTACTTGTAAATTAACAAAATCAATTAGAACTTTATGAAGGTATAAAGAAAATTTTCAGGATTCGATAACTTGATTATCGCTTAATTAGTTTAAAGCGGGGCGGGGGTAGGGTTAAGACTAAAATGTCTATATATAGAGGTTAATTAAAAGATAACAATGACTTAAATTCAAAGTTTAGAAGCATCTTGGACCTTTAAGGGAGCTCAAGGCAGCCCCAGACCTTCTGCCTGGCAGTGCCTATGAAAATACTTTGTATAGAACACCCCCACATCTTCCAAGGAAATACCTTGAGCCATCCATAAAACTTCAAGAGTACAGTTGACCTAAACATTATAATAAATGTATAACGGGATGGCACTCAAAATATCGCTAAGATGTATAAACGGTACTGTGAACAATTAACCTAAAATTTACTGAACTTTAAACCAACTGATTTTAAATTAAATGATAGATTCCAGTAAATAATTAAAATACCTTTTAAATAACTTGAAATGGTGGTTTATTCTGGATTAATCTCTAATTAACAAATTAAATGAAATTTAATAAGTGATAAAATTCAGTCAATAAAAATACAATACTGCAGTCGACTTAACTCTTAATTCGC